TCATTTTTCCCTACCCTCCTTGCTCCCCCCTCCCTCATGAGCCATTGATAGTTTATAAATTGTTATTTTGTCATATCTTACCCTGTCTGACGTCTCCCTTCACCCACTTTTCTGATTTTATCACTCTTTGATTCTGATTCATTGAAAGAATTTGCATTCTCTGGGGACTAGGAGTTGTCCAAATTACATTCCCTTCTGCCCCACCTCGCTCACTTCTCTGTCTCTCATTTCTTCAGCTTCTTAAATGAATATTTGTAGGCTGACAATGGGTGTATTTTTCCTGGCATGGCTTAAATCGAGAAGCAGGGGAAATGAATGTTTTTATTCTCTTGAATATGTGTCTTGAGGTTCCGGCTGAACTTTTACCTAGCTTTCACGGTACCAGGCAAAGCCGAGAGATTTTCTAGTTCAAGTGAAACCCCTGGCATCAACAGATGAAAGTCTTGGCTGAACTTGACCCCAGCCCCACTGCCCACTCTCCCAATGCTGGACATTTCCTTTTGTGCCCAGGGTGCTTCTAAACAAGATAGGAGTTGAACGAAAGGATAGCGTTTAAAGCCCTTTTTTTACACAGAGTAGAGCTCAGCAAACCTTCCTCATCAGAGGCTGGCCGTATTGCTGACTTCTTTGTGCTGGTGCGATGTCATCAAGGGCAAGGTTCCCAGCAGGGTTTTGGTGACCTACAGCTAGCCCATCTTCACATGCTCAGGAAAAGAGGGGAAAAAGCATCCCATGGCATCTCAAATTCCCTTCTCCTGGGCTTCACTTTTCGTAAAGGGTTACAGATGTATGGTTTAAGCCTTACTGATTATATTCTCTTAAATATGCCCCCCCCCAAAAAAAAATTTATGTACGCCGCAATAACTATTTACTACGCACTTGACATATTTATAGAATTTTAATGGTTGCCATGCGAGGGATAAAAAAGACAGGCTTGTAATCTTTTTTTTGCCCCCTATAGCACAATGGATCTTTCAACTAGCTTGGTATTGGCTTTGATTCCATTTAACATCATTAGACCCTTCAGCAATTACCGAAAATTGCCCTGAAAATTGTTGTCAAGGGGACCTTTGATTTTTCCAGAGATTTTTTTTTTGCTTCAATTAGATCGTGTTTAAATAGAGCTAACAGCATAAATGTTTTAATATCCACTTACTGTTTAATCTGTGGAACTTTCTATTAACTGTACTTACATGTGGACTGTCATTATCCTCACATACTGACTGGGTTCAGTCTGTGTACCCAAGGGCAAAAGCCAATATACACACTTCTGACAATCTGTCAGCGATGCTTCTGGCAAATCAGCCAGAACTGTGGGTGATCAGAGGCTACCTCTATTCCCAGATAACCTGCTAGGAAGATATATTTTGCTTTTTGTTCTCATAGGTAGATGCCCAAGTTGTAGAGTGGCAGAAACAGAAAAAATTAAATTTACCAGTGCATTTGGAGCTTTGAAAGAACACAAATGTTACGTCACTTCACAGCAGATGGGTTTAAATATTGACTGCTGATTGCTCTGCTCACTGACATGGCTTGACCTGTTTTGTTTTTAAAATTTTTTTTATTATTCTGAGAGTCTAGAGGGGCTATTCTTGTTTCAAGACACTGGGGTAGGGCAAACGGTTAAGTGTTTGGTGATGGTGGTTTGAATCTACCCACAAGTGCCTGGGAGGAAAGGCCTGGCGATCTATTTCCACAAGGTCATAGTCCCTGAGACCCCATGGAGCCCAGTTCTACTCTGAAACACACCCCAGGGGCTCACCGTGAGTCAGGATTGAATGGATGGCAACAGCATCTTTGTCTCTCCGGGTTTCGGTGCAGTGTGGGGTTGCTAATGTCTGCAGGACCAACGGAGGAGCCCTGGTGGAGTAGTTACACATTAGGCATCTATTCACAATGTCTGCAGTTCGAAACCCTGACTAGCTGCTCCGTGGGAGAGTTGAGGCTTTCTGCTCCTGTGCAGTCAGACAGTCTCAGAAGCCCCAGGAGCTGTTCTGCTCTGTCCTCTAGAGTTGCTGGGAGGCCGCATCCGCAGCAGTCAGTGTGGTGTGTTTCGAGGACAAACCAGGTGCCTCGGGTAGCTTCTTTGTCTGGCTTCCTAGAGGCTTGAACTCTCCTCAGGTTCATGCTAGGACTTATTCCCACCCCCACCCCCACCCCCGTCCCCCATGTGACTGATTTGGCTGTGATTACCTCTGTTTCCCTGGACCTCACTGACTTTAATGCCTGTAGGATTCAAGGAAGCCTTGGTCTCCTCCTGAGGCCAGCAGGCCCGTTTGCGCCTTTCTCTTGGTTTTTAATTCTATTGGTGTGTGCAAGCTATCATTTCCAGTCTCAGGGGCAAAGCACTGAGTAGAAGTGATAGTTCTCCAACACACCCTCCCCTGTCAGTTTTCCTTTTTCCACCCTCATCTTCCAAACGAGGAAGGGAAGGCAGGCCAGGAGGGGAAAGGTGGGGTGGAATGGCGTACTGCTGGTGCTGCTTTCTCCTGTCTGTCATCAGCCTGCTGTTTACAGGCCTCAGCACCAAGTTCTCACCAAGGTTGTTACAACGACAAACTGAAGGGCAGCCAGCCCCCTAAGTGGGTAGGAGGGCCTGACTCTCAAGACCTGGTTTGCATCCTGTGTCTTTTCCACAGCTCTGTGATTTCGAGGATATTATTATCATTTTATGAACTTAAACAAAACCCAAACTCCTTGTCATTCAGTTGACTCCAGCTTCAGAACCACACGATAGTTCAGCGTAGACCTGCCCCTTTGGGTTTCCGAGACTTTAACTCTTTATGAGAACAGCCAGCCTCATCCTTCTCCCGGGAGCAGCTGGTGGGTGTGCATTGCGGACTTGGTGGTGAGCAGCTGCATGCGGAGCAGCCCCCAGCACCACCCACTCGGGATTCTCTATGAACTTAACATTGCTTTCCTTCTCAAATAGAGAAAAAGATGATTTTGGTTTTTTCCAATCTCAGTGTATGTTGATAAATTCTTTGGACCACCCCAACCACTCACACAATCCAAACTCAAACAAATAAGTGTTCGTAAATAAATAGCTATACACAGACCTAGATATTTAGATTGTTGTAATGATTCAATAGTTTTTGTAGTTTGATAGTATTTCCGTTTTTGCATGCCGTGACTTTTTCCTTTAGCTTTTGCAGCTTTAAATTGATGAATGAAAAACATGTTTCTTTGTAGAAAGTGTTGTTTTCCGAAGGCTTTTTCTCTCCAGGCCTATTTTAACCTCAGTACTCTTCCTGATAACTGGAGTATAGCTCCAACTTTAATGACTGTAGTAAGCCAGGTTCCAGAGTGTAAGCTGAAAGAGAGAGAGAGAGACATATCTTATAGATAAAAAATCTTTTCTCCTTTGAAAGAACTAGAAAGTTATTGTAACCCACATAGGGTTTATGAAATACAGTTATTATTTTTCTTTGTTTTGAATGATTCTTCTTGACAAACTATTTACTCAACCAAGGAAAGCTTAGGGGATCTCTCCATTAAATGAAAATATAATATACTAGGAGCTTGAGTATTTTGAGAGTTCGGGCAGGAAATTAAATCGCAGGAAAGTGTGAGAACTTTTCTCCTAAGACACATTGAGTTATTTCATGGCTTTATTAGTATTTACAAGTGCAAGGAATTTAACTTCATTTATTTTAGCACTGGAATTGGAGGGTTTTGTTGGTATTCAGATAATTAAGCTTTACTCAGACATAATCTATTTTACAAAAATAGATAACCAAGTGTCACCAAGGGCAGTGTTTCATTGAATGGTGTAATCTAGCCCAGACTTACATAGTGTTAACCTTGCCAACATGCTGCTATTAGTATGCGAATTATTCATCATATGTAACGTTTTAGTGCTTTGGCATTTTGCATTTCAGTAAAATTGAATTACTTAGAATCAGTATAGAGGGGGAGAAGAAATTTATGTCTTATAATGTAAACATATACAACCTCCCCTAACCTCCCCTCCTTTTTATTCCCTCAGGCACCATGGGTAATGTGGAACATGGGAACCAATATCAGATCAAATTGATGTATGAGCATAATCTTCAGAGGACAGCCTACAATATGACTTATGGATCATTTGGCGGTGTAAAAGGTAATTTGCATTTAATCACGGGTGTGCTATTGCAGATTTCAAATATTCGGCCATTTGTAAGTGAGCGATTGTGTGGTGTGAATGGCAGAGTTCAAGGAGACACTTTATGGTAACCTCTGGGTATAACCGAGGAGCCTTGGTGGTGTTCTGCTTCGAGCCCACCAGCTGCTCTGCCACTTTCTGCGCTCACCAAGTTCGACAGCTGGGAAACCCACAGGCACGGTGCTCCTCTTCTTCCGAGTTGGAATCCACGCCATGGCAGTGCATCTGGTTTGTTTCCTGGTTTTGTATCAAAGCACGCTAGCAAAATAATGAGGATAAGAAAGAAAGCTTCAGGTAGTGAATGGGGGTCAAAAGCAAAGAGGGCAGAGGGCTGCAAGAGGCAGGATGGAGGGACGCATGGAAACCTGGAAATGGCTAAGCAGGGCAAGGCGCGGAAAGTGTGCTGTTGGCCTGAGGGAACTGCAACTAATGCTACCAAACAAAATGTCGTATCAATTCTTGGACAGAAAATGGATTTTTCTCTATAAACCTTCACTTATCAAAAAACCCTAGTCCACTGCTCTCAAGTTGATTTGGATGGCAGTGACCCTAGTGTAGGGTTCCCAAAAGTCATACTAATTATGGGGGTAGACGGCCTTGGCTTTCTCCCGTGGAGGAGCTGCTGGAGTTGAACTACTAGCCTTGTGGTTAGCCGCCAAACACTTCACCACCCCACCAACTGAAACCACAGCTGAAAAGAGAAAAGGTGATCGTATTCGTTTTGGGCATCAGGGCTGTTCAAGTAGAGGGGCAGGAAAAAGGGGAAGGCCCTTGTCACCGTGAGTGCACCACTGGCCTCCAACATAATGGCAATTGTGAGGATGGCCCGGGACTGGGCAGTGCTTTGTCCTGCTGTGCATAGTGTCACCGAGAGTTGGAGCGGACTCTATGCACCTAACAACAACAGCAACAACAAGCACTTGGATCCGATACAGAGCTATATTTCTGAAACTGCCTTTTCTACAATTTTGGTCTTTCATACATGAGTTTTGATGATTATTTTTTTTTTAGTTTTCTTGTCTTATGATGATCTCTTTCAGTGGATAAAGGAATTGAACTTACTCTTGACAGCAGCTCTCTGGTGTCTGTGCTACAGGAAAAGTGCGGGTTCACCCTGCTCTCTGAACAATACCCACATAAGGGCTACTGCATACGGCTGTGTCGGTCGTTTCTGTACAGGGTGCCTGGTGGAGGTGGCAGGAGGGGTTAAGCCATGTGCCTGTGGTAAATCCACCCAGAAGGAAGAAACTCTTCCTAAATCTTACTAAGTCACTACCTTTACTGAGGACTGGGTTAGTGGCTTCTACTCTGGGGGTGCATTTTTTAATTGGCATGAGCGTGACCTATTGCATGCCCACTGTCCTCGCAAAGCTTTCAAAATTACTAGGATTTGGTATTTTCTTTCTTTCCTTTATTTTGATTTTTGGATTTGGTATTTTCTGTGTCTGCTGTTGGGATTGGTGTGGAACTATTTTTCTTTTCTGCTCATTAACTCTTACTGCACCCTGATGGAGTGGTAGAGGGGCTAGTGGTGCTGAGTCGAGGACAGGAAGCCAGGTGGTGATTCGTACCTCTGTGATGTTGTCTACGGGGGTGTGTGTGCATGCGTGTGACCAGCAGAAAATGTAAAATACTATTTTAACTCTTTGGGCTCACTTTCTTATGAGTTTCTTATTCAACTTTGCTTTAAATGCAGTCTTCCTATATGAAGGGCTTTCTTTCGAGAAATGAGGAAGAGCCTGCATTTGGAAGTATCCTTCATCTGTGTAAACTGAAGTGTTTTTGTCCACAGAGGTAAAGGCAACTAGTAGAAAAATTTGGGCAAACAAATTAGCCAGTGGACACCTTTTTTAGGGTGGTGGGGTATAAAGGACGTTTGGTATCACTAAAATTATATAATAAAAGTTGGCTGAACTGCAGAATTACTTCCTCCGAGTCACAGGACCAGTTGGGCTGTTTGAGGGCTATGAGAGATGGGCTAGAGTTAGATGACAGAGGAGAGGAAGCACTGCGATTTAGATGAGAAGCTAATTTCTGTCAGCAAAGTATCCCCCCTGATTCTTTGCTTTTATAACTGAATTTCACTATTAAAAGGAATATCTGACATTGTTGGAGAAACCAGATTTCCTTGATCAAACTAATTCCCCCCCCCCCCAATTTTCTTTCTACTACCAAATCTCCAAAAGTCAAATGACCAAATTATATGGATGAGCCCCACCAAAATTATAACTTGGGAAAAAAGCGCCTTGGCTTAATGAGAGTAAGCTAAGTAGCATCAAGACAACTCTGCTGTATATCAAATTTTATCTGGTATAAATTGAATTACATATTTTATAAAATCATGATAACCCAATCCAAAAACAGAAGTTCCTTGCTCCTATGTGACATTTTTGCTGGATTTTATAAAGGACTTCCAAAGCACCGTTGCTAATAGCTTAGAAAAGAAAGGCAATTTTGTACCTACTTCTTATCTTTCTTTCTGTAGCTCTTAAGTGATGGTTTTCTATTCAGAAGAGAAATTCTGGAAACACTTGGGACCATTCTGGCGTGTTTTACTCCTGTGGTTAGGTTGTGTGGTTTTTCTGTACATGGTGCCTGGTGGAGGTGGTAGAGGGGCAGGAATCCAGTCCTTCTGCTTGTCAGAGTAGTCAGTCCGTCCACGAGTTTGGAACAATTATGTCGTTGCCACTGAGGTATCTGTGAGAAAACAAGACAACATAGGAGGTGGTCTAGTAGTGAAAAATATCCACGTTGTTAGGAGAGAATGCTAATGGGATGATGAAAGTGTTCTAAAATTAGATCATAGTGATTGTTGTACAGCTTTATAAATAGGAGGGATTTTCAAGATGTTTGTGGAAAATTCCATTACCGTCTAATTCCATTTTCCCATGGACTTTTTGAAGTCCTGTCATTTCCTAAAATGATTGAGTTGTATATTTTAGAGGGAAAGATATTCTGGTCAGAGTACATCTAGCTGAGTTAAAGCTGTTAACTAAATTAGTCATGTGCTACAACCCGATGGCTGGCAAGGCTAAGCTGTACTGTTTATCATACCTTGCTCATGACTGGGTGGAAAGCTGTGCCGCTCCTATAAGGCAGAGTGGCAGGTGACAGCTTGGTAACTACTTCTGGATGTCCTCATAGGACTTGAGTGAAGTGTGTGTTAGGAAACGCTCCAAATTATGTGAAAGTCAGGTTGAGTTTCATTCCGCTTTATTCCTTTTGTCTGCACATAGAGTATATGTTTACTTGTAATACACAAAATTGAGAAGTGATCTGAGTAATGGAAATGATTAAATTAGCCTTGATGTATTTATTCAGTGGATTATTATGAAGCTATTAAAATGAAGTTTTGTTGGTTGAAATGAACATATTTTTACATAGATCTTTGTCCCTGTTTCTGATTAATTTTCTTAGTGTAGAATCTGGAAGTGGTGTTATTCCTCAATATGAAAGTTGCCTCACCCAGGTTACACAGTAAAGGTTTTGTAAAGTAGAAGCCAACTCAAGACCTGAACCTCTTAAAGGAAAGCCCATTTTTCAGCTCCATGAGTCTACTTCGTATCTATCTAATGTCATGGCCTTTTAGTGTGAAAACATTGAGTTGATCTGAACTTAAAATGGAAAAAAACATCCTTGTTTCTGAGCTTGCACTGAATTTTACACTGCCTTCTTATAGAATGATTAAGTCCAGTTATGATGCCAGTAATTCTCAAGAGAGAAAGCTTGACACAATTTCTTTTTTTTAATCGTTTTATTAGGGGCTCATACAACCTTTACCACAATCCATACATACGTCAGTTGTGTAAAGCACATTTGTACATTCATTGCCCTCATCATTCTCAAAATATCCGCTCTCCACCCAAGTCCCTGGAATCAGCTACTCATTCCCCCCCCAATCCCCTTCCCTCATGAACCCTTGATAATTTACAAATTATTATTTTGTCATATTTTGCACTGTCCGACGTCTCCCTTCACGCACTTTTCTCTTGACACAATTTCAAACAAAGGTGTTTAAAATACAGAAAGGCAGTGGGATGTTTGTATGTGCAACTGAACGAGTTGCCACTAGATGGCAGCCCTCCACAATCTTAGACCTGCGTACAGCTAAGGGACCTGAGTACAGTTAAGAGATCAGCCAGGGAGCCGATTCCCACCCATAGTGACCCCATGGGACAGAGTAGACGTGCCCCCTGTGGACTTCTGAGACCTTTACTGTTCAAAGTTGGAAAGTCTCGTTTTTCTCCCGCAGAGCATCTGGTGGTTTCAAATTGCCGACTTTGTGGGTTTTTAACAGTCCACCTTGTAATCTACATGCCATCAGGGCTCCTGTCAGAGATGGATCTGTAGTGGAGGATTTTTGACCCCAAAATAATGCTTGACCTTTTAAAAAAAATAAGTGTGCCTTTCCTTTATGTTGAACTCAGAACACTGCCTGGTGCAGAGTAAATCACTAAATAAACATCGGGGAACAGAGTTTTAAAAAAAGAATTATCTAATTGTTGCTAGTGGTTACATGTTGGGCTGCTAACTGAAAGGTCAACAGTTTGAAACCACCAGCCGCTCCTCAGGTAAAAGCCGTGACACTCCTGAAAAGAGTTACAGCCTTGGAAACCCACAAGGGCCGTTCTACCCCGTCCTGTAGCGTTGCTATGAGTTGTCAGTGAGTGAGATTGTGTGAGCCTTTCATAAGATATAATATTGAAGTGCTTTCTAGCTCTGCGTCTCACACTTTAATTGACATCTGAATCACCAGGGATTATGGTACAAAGGCAGGAGCCAGTAAGCTTGGGTTTGGGCCCGAGGTTCTGAGTTTCGGACAACTGTCCTGGTGACGCCAAGTCGAGAAGGTCTCAGGTATGCTGCGCCCCAGTGTCTGCTGCCCTCTTCCTGCCCAGTCCTGTGCTCTAAGCCCTCACTGATTGGGTCACTGGCTGCAGGCAGCTCTGTCAAACAGT